CCTCGCAAGGGTTGTCGAGGGTGAGGGGCCGCCTTTGGGCAAGGCCCAGTGGCCTCTATTGGCTGCGAACATTTGGGTCTGAGGTTTGAGGTAGCCCGTCACGCTTTCCGACAACCCCTGGATCGGCGTGCGACGGCCGATCCACACTACAGTTACAGTGCGATGCAAAAGGTTTTATCCACCGTGTTTTCCTTAAATCTATTTGCACTCTCAGCGAATTAAATACAGTAAATCCGAAAACATGCCTGGATGTGTATTCATAAAATCCACAATTCTTGCTTTGAATTGTGTCAAACTCAAAATAATGATTGAGAAATGAAAAGAATTATGTATCAGCAACGATGCAAAAGGTATACATGTAATCACCTGTTGACAAGCACGGACAAGACACGAAATCAACTCAAATCATGCCATGTTTTTACAATTTGTCTTCTAGTACTTTGTCGTCATTCCTTTGGCGGTAACTACCCCTAGGCTTCTCGTTTTCACTAGAAACGAGTTTTTGGAGGTAGGTGATGTCCAGCGAGGTCCAGAGCAGCAGAATCGCCGATTTGAGCTCCTCCTTTGAGCTGTATTGCATGCCACCGCCTAACACGCGTTGAACCAGGTATTCCCAGAGGTTTTCAATCGGATTCGGTCGGTTGATGCGTTCGACCACTGTAAATCTGTCCATAATGTTTTTGCCATTAAAGCCCAATATTTCAACACTTTTCTGGAAGAATTATCAAGTTATGGCATATTTGGTGATTTTTAACACGTAATTTGTGGCATCCAATCAGTCTTTAAACTTTGGGTATTTTAACTTCATACCATAACCGAACCCCCACTACCCACACGCTTGATATTTTGGTTCTTCCCTTGTGGGGGACGTGTACGTACACACGAAAGGAAATGGAAAATTGAATTAGATCGCTGAGAGTTTTAAGCTAGCTTGAATAGTTGAACGTTGGAATGAGCGCACAATGACACCATACAAACTCAGATAAAGCCAAAACACAGAATGGGTGATCATGAGCTGAATGCAGCAAAATTCAATGTGGCCACGCAGTCGGTCACTTCGGTTGCTGGGCGGGACAGACCGTCGAAGCCGACCATCGTGACATGCTTCGTCTTGAGGACATCGAACGACACCAAGCTCGGTCGGATAAGGTTGTCTGTTGCGCCGGCCATCCAAATAACCCCTCTTGATGACCAAGTGGTTGCGCGCGTGAAACCTTGGACGTCGTACGTTCTTCGTCCTGCATCGACACCGTGTTCACACCATACCACATGATCTCTTCGTCGTCATCGTCGGTAGGGGCTGTAGTCGACTCGACTTTCCACTTGCCCATGTGCGCTTGCGTGTGATCACGCCTGGCCCGACGCCCCGGCGACGAGCCACGACACCGACTACTGCAGTTGTAGCAGCGGCGTTGCTCTGTGTTGCGAGCGCGGTTCGCCCGTACGAAGTCGATTTCCATGTCATACCGGGCCACACCTCTTCACACTTGAAAATGTCCATCACGCATGCCGACGTTGCCCTTCTGATGTCAATGCCGAAGACGACACGCCAGCGCCAGATGCTTATGTGGTTCATGGCACTCCCAGTAATAGAAAGGCCGATAATCCCAAATGTACGTCTCGACCTTGATCAAGTCAGCGATGCAAATGCAATCCTCGAGTACCGTTTTGACGTCCTTGGAATTCGTGAACTTGGGTACAACCTTGGCCTTCCAGCCGTCCTCGTGACCCCAAACCAGAACCGCGCCCTCCGCGACGAGGCTATCTGCATCCTTCTTGGACGCCTCGCCTTTCCAACACGATTACACGACATGTCCAAGACGTTTGGACGCTCCCGCTCGTCGATATGCGATCTGTTCCTGCATGTTGTTGATCTGCATCACACGTTGTGGGGTGGGGTGCTCTATTTCAACAAGGACCATGTTGCAAAGAACATCGACCGGTACGTGATTTCCACCCAAGTGCCTTCCTTGTAACCGGTATCGTAGTTTCTGCGCTGCAATTGCCACGAAGGGTTCACCTCTGTCAAACGTTTTCGTCTTCATCGATGGCATAAAGATTCAAACCTGTCGAATTGATTCGACAGGGGATGGAAACAATCTTCAAAAGCAATTCTACAGTGGCCATAAGCGCACGCACTGCCTGAACTACCAGGCTGTCACTTGTCCCGACGGAATATGTGTCCACTTCTTTGGACCGGTAGAGGGCCGGCGTCACGACTCAACTATGCTGCGTCAGAGTAAGCTTCTTCAATTCTTTGACAAGCATCGAGACATATTTTCCTCTAAGTGCATCTACGGGGACCCAGCCTATGGCATTGCTGAGTACCTGATCTTAGGAAACAAGGCAACAACGTTGGAAAGCTCAAACGCGAATTCAACAAAAGGATGAGTCGTGTGCGCCAGTCCGTTGAGTGGAATTTCAAGATTTTGAAAACGTTTTGGTCCTTCATTACGATTAAAATTCTTTCGAAAATCCGACTGTCCCCTATGGCCAAGATTGTGTACGTTGCGATGCTTCTTTCTAATTGCCATTGCTGCCATTATCAGGGAAATCAAATCAGCCACTTCCTCAACATTGATCGGACAACAATGAAAGAATAATTAAGCATGCTCGAGATTGTAGAAATCTAATAACAATGGAACATGAATTCATGATTTATTCTTCATGAGCAACTTAATCAAGGCTGCCATTGACTTCTGTCTGTTGTGCTCTCAGTGCTTCTTGCTGAGCTTGGATTTGTTGGATTAATAACTCACAGTCCTTATGTCGTTCTTCGATGTCAGTCTTGTGCTTTTAGCGCTGAAACTCCAAGTCCGACCTCGCCTGCTCATGCATCATAGCCATCACTTTCATCATCTTGCCACCACCTCCGCGAGAAACAACGTCGTCATCAGGGTCGACCTTCCTTTTTCCCAGCGACTGCATGGCTTCCTCTCGAACGATACTGCTGAGGTTCTCGTTGTGCTCTTGCAAATTTTTCATACTCGCAATGCGCTGTACCTCTTCTTCCTTGGCATCGTCAAGGGTCGACAGCAGTTCATTCAGCAGCATAACTTTCTTGATAACTTCTTCCGAAATGCCGGAGGCACGAGATGATTCTTGGTTGCTCTTGCGATGAGCTTCAATGAGTGCGTTAAAGCGGTTGTTGGCCTTCTTGGCGTCGAAGTCGGGGCGTCCAAACCCCTCGCGCCCAGCAAGCGCCTGAGCGGTTTGTCCATCATAAAGCCACGGCGAGCAAGGAAGGGCATGTCTGCGGACACCTGCCGAAGAAGCAAGATATCTTCTTCGTCTGTGAAGTTGCGGAGCTTGAGTGGTGTCGTCATGGTCCAAATCAAGACAAGTTGTATGGATGAAGTCCAATTCCGTACATTTGGCTGGTTTGGCAGACAAACGATTATATTTGAGAGTTTCCACAATAAATTTTTGCAAGAGGATTCTGCTTTTGTCAACATACGGCGGGGCGCCGCCCTGGATGCGGACTGGAATTGCATCAACACCTCACTACTGGGTTGCCCCCGTCGTTCTGCCCCCATCCTTCCCACTCCTCATGTCATGTGCCTATGTGTTCTCCGTCTATCGCGCTCCCGCCTTCATACGCTCTATCGAGGCCATTTCAATACTTGCGGGCTTCGTTATCAGTATTGTACTCGTCATGGCCGTTCTATTTTTAGACAGTGTTGACACTCATCTGTCATTGGCTCATTCATTGTTATCATGACCATGGCACAAATCCCAAACAATGGCAGCAATGTGCCGTGGGCGTCGCATGCGCGTGGAAGATGCTGCAGATGGCATGGTTCTGTACAAGAGCTAGGAACAGGACGAACTACGCTGCGGCGCTTTCTGACCGAGTATTGAAAAGGACGGTGTTGTGTCGACCCCACCTCATGTTTTCCTCGAAATACGTTTCGGTCTTCATGTCTTGCGTGTCGAAGGCACTGCTTCACATCGCAACGAGTCAGTGAGGCGTCCCCGCCGTCACGAACACCTTGAGCCATGTCATTCCGTTTCAGTGAGCAGGTCGTTCCGCATGGTCCTGCATGGATGTGGTTGAATATCGAGAGGGGTGAGAGAATCGGCACCGCCTTTGCTGGCTGTGGTCCAGCCGACTACTTGAAGCAAAGAACACTCGTATCGGTGACATCAGTATAAGCTATCCATAAGTAGGTCTTTCGATGGACAATTGGGCTCTTAGTGCGCTCTCTTGAGCTCGAAACCACTTGCGCACGATATCGGCAAGCCACAGACTTCGGTCTTCGACCCCCATCTCGGAGAGTCGAGCGCGCACAAACGTGTGTTCATGGCATGACTCCCCATCCTCGTTCGCCTTACAGACCATCCTAAGCACACTCGTCAGTTGTCGAAATCATCCGGGCCAATGTCGTACCATCCACTGACGCCAATGTGCAGCGGCTGCCTCGGTACTGGAAACCTGTCGTCCTCGAGAATGCTTCGATAGACAAACACGGCTTGTTTTGCCGTGACGATGCGTTTGTACAGAACATTTACAACGAGTGGGGCATTTCGAGTGTGGCCGCTGTCCAGCCGGACCTGCACGTACAAGATATCTGGGCTGCACGAGTCCAGTGTCTACGCAGCCACGTCAGATGCCATGAAAGAAACGTCAGGACTGGCGGTACTCTCGTCATGCGAATGGCATGGGTTGGCATGTTTGTCAACGCGTTCCACGTGACAGCGCCGACTTGGTCGAGCGGCGCTGGGAGGGGTCGCGAGCAGACTAAATCGACGTAGTCGGAAGCGACGAACAGGTTGGGTCGCCCGCGAAGGTCGTGGCGCTGCGAGTGACCAATGTACGAGTGGATGCAGTCTTGGGCGATGGATAGTTTGAGCTCGAGTTGCAGGAGGAGCCACTTGTACGCGTCGCCTCGGAACGCGCCGTGGCCAGTCATTTTGTGGCTCTGCATGTCAACGCTCTACAACAGGGAACCCTGAAGAAAGTGTGGCTCAGACAGACATTACGATTTGAATGAGGGGAGTGACGAGTTTGGTTTGGTTCGGCAGGTACGTTGTGGTAAAGTATGGCGTAGTGTCTGCGACGGTGGACGGGCTGCTCGTGTCGTCGCTTTTGTCGTAGGTTGGTCCGCCGCCGTGCGCACTGTCGTCGTCGACGCGGGACTCTTTCGTCGTCCGCGTGACCGTCGTTCTCCTGCTCACGGCGCTTCGTCGGCTGCTGGAGCGCAACGAGTGGAACCCCATCCCGCCGACGGACGAACCATGGCCCATTTCGTGCCAAGGAATACAGGCACGACTCACCCCACCGCCAATCTTAAAATAGCCACTCCGCTCTTGCGTCATGTGGCGTTAGTGTCAATTTGCCAACCGAGCTGTGCACACCACAGTCGCTGCGGGCACTGCAAACGCGAGCTGCCGATGAACCGTGCTCAAGTCTGCGGAGCGAATGCCATCGGCACCGCCAGTGGCCTCCACGAAGTTTGCATACGTTTCCTCAAGACGATGCTGCATGCTCCTCGGGCTGCATGAGAATGACTGATCGTCGTGTTCGAGATATTATGCTGAAGTGGGGCTATACATCAGCCAATCATCTTTGACGACCGATGGAGGACGACAACCATGCACTACCTCGCCATGTCATTCGCATCGACCGCAACATGCTCAGCCGAGTGCTGTACCCGAACCCGGTGTGCCTCCTCAGCGTGGCCGATCCGTTGTCCAACACGCGTAACGTCATGACGGTGACGTGGCTCACCCCCATAAACAACCACGTACGGCGGACCCGCATTTCCATGGCCTTCCCCAGACGAGCGTTCCATCGATGGCACTGTTTCCCGTCGTAGGGCAAGTTCATTTGCTCGATCAACTGCCATCGGCACACGGCGACCTTTCTCAACCAAGTTGGCCGGACTTTTGGTGTGTGCGCAACGTCCTGTCGCTCCTCCTGGCATGACACGGTGGTGTTGTAGTGCTCAATGTCCCGACAGTTCAGCAACAAGCGCTCGTGCTTGCCATCGGGGGATGCTCCGGTTCGACGGTCGACAAGTTTGCATCGCTCAACATTGAAACATGTGACGTGGGATGGACACCGCCCACCCGACCACCAAAACGAAACAAGCACGGCATGTCCAAGAAGGACTTGGTAGAGGTCGACGTCGCGGATGCCGCTGCATCGTGTGTTGCTTTGGTAGAGCCTACGCACACCTGAACTGGTCTCATCCATCATGCGAAGAAGGATTCCATCGCGCATGTGCTATGCCGCGTGGAAAAGGTTGACGTAGACGATGGGCACTACATCATCACTGCCGTCGAGCTCGCAGCATACGTCGACGCCAGGTACTGGAATGGCAAGACGTTCGGGTCGACGGACGCCCCGCCGTATCTGACCTTCTTGGGATCCAAGGTGTTTGGCCAGGTCACGCCGTTAGAGGCATTCCATTGAACAGATCGATTCCTACATCTTCCTAGCCAACGTCTACTTGAAACCCTTAAACCCGCGATGTTTGAACCCACGACCCTTGAAGCCCTTGAACCCTTTGTGGCCCTTGTACTTGACTTTGCCATGCTTGTTCACCTTCATGTGACCGCCGCCGTATCCTGCTTGGTACACGCCTGGCTGCTGGACGTACATGGGTTGGTGCTGGCCGTACTGACCAGGATGCATCGGTGGAGCGTATTGTCCAGGTATGGCTTGCGGCGGAGCTCCGTAGTATGGCTGCGGTGGGTAGCTTTGTTGCATGACATACCCTTGCTGCGGTGGGTATGCAGGTTGTGGGTAACCTGGCTGGGGAGGGCCTTGTTGAGGGTAGCTCTGCGGTGGATAACCCGGCTGGGGGTATCCCTGCGGTGGGTACCCTTGTTGGGGATACGCCTGAGGCGGATAACTGGGCTGGCCTTGCTGGGGTGGCGGGTACTGGCCTGGTGGAGGTTGCTGACCAGGCGGGTACTGGCCTGGAGGAGGTTGCTGGCCAGGCGGGTACTGGCCAGGTTGCTGTGTGTATTGGCTCGGCGGAGGTTGCTGTCCCGGCGGGCATTGTCCAGCGGGTTGCTGCGGGTATTGTTGGCCAGGGTACGGCTGTTGGTTCATGACGCCGACAATTCCAAAGTGACTTCCTTGCACAATGACAATCTGTGTCGTCGACGTGTCAAGTGACTCCAAATATGCAATAGAACGTACACGTTAAACGCAATGGGATAATAATCCATTGGCAAGTAAACACGTTTATAGTTTTAACCAGAATATTCTGGGTCACTAAAGACTTTGACGTCGATGGGGCCACGGGGCGAAAGGAAGTCATATTGTTTTATCACACCAATAATGTGTCATGTCTATTTGAAAAATCCAAAGCCGAACCCCTTGTTCTTAAACCCCATGTACATGGGCCCGCCCACGACGCCGCTGCCAACGTACCCTGGGCCGCCGTAGATTACGCCAGGCTGCTGCACGTACATCGGCTGCTGGATGTATCCTGGCTGCTGCATGATGACTGTTGGAGGTTGCTGCATGATCACGGGCGACTGGGCGTATTGGATCGGCGGAGGCTGGGCATAATACGGCTGCTGAGGCGCATATTGCACAGGCGGCGGGTACTGCTGAGGAGGGTACTGCTGCGGCGGATATTGCTGAGGAGGGTACTGCTGCGGCGGATATTGCTGTGGAGGGTATAGCTGCGGCGGATACGGCTGAGGAGGGTACTGGCCTGGAGGGTATTGGCCTGGTCTGTTGGGGTCTTGCATGCCTGTCGGGCGGAAAAGTGATCGAGAACACCACTTCGGCCAGTCGACGCCAAGTTTATGCAACGAAAGTCCACTGAATTCGGACACGTTCTCCTATTTAGCCACAAGCAGGACTCGAATCCTTTCCGAGACACACAGGAGAGTCCTTGAAGCACGCACGTCGTGCATTGGCACCGAACGTGCATCTCAGGATGATTGATGCATGCGACGCCGCTGCTCTAAGTTGGTATCGTACACACACTTTTGTCGGTCGTCTTTGAGGACACTGGTTGAGCTGGCGCGGCTCGAGGCCGGTACGCCCGATGGTGAATAAGTGAAGGCAGGTCGAGTCGGACGGGTCTGGTCGCTGCAGAGCACTGCGAAATCGAAAGGAAAACGATCTCGACATGCTACATATAAGGAAGGGGTGTGTTAAGATCGAGAGCGTGTTCAAAGAGAGGCGAAGACTTCGTGAGCAGACACTACTTGAACCACTTGAATCCCTTGCGCTTGAAACCCTTGAGCTTGAACCCCTTGTGCTTGTGCTTGTACTTGATCTTACCATGCTTGCCGACTTTCATATGGCCTTGTGGCGCTCCGTAATATACCCCCGGCTGTTGAACATACACTGGCTGAGGCGCGTAGCCCGGTTGGATGTAGCCGGGTTGGACGTAGGCAGGCTGGGGTGCTTGCACGTACTGCACTGGGGCAGGGGCTGTCGCGGACTGGAACAGCGCTCGCCCTTGTTGTGCGTAGTATTGCTGTTGTGCGTACTGCGGCTGCTGCGGAGCGTATGCCTGTGGCGGGTATTGTTGAGGTGGGTATTGCTGTGGAGGATATTGCGTTGGCTGGGGCGGGTACTGCGCTGGTGGATACTGGCCTGGAGGGTATTGGCCTGGAGGGTATTGGCCTGGAGGGTATTGCCCAGGCTGCGGCGGGTACTGTTGCCCTGGGTACTGCGGGGGTTGCTGGTACATCTCGACGACCGGCGGCGAAGAACGAGCGACTCGTGTTGACTGGGGCAGTCGCATGCATTCTGTATGTCGGGTTTCTAATCTCATCTACCGGATAATAGGTCTCAAAGTAGTCGTTTGGATTCAAACCCATTTTTCGTGGATTTATAATGTTTTCAAATGGACAAAAATCATTTGAAATAGATTTTAAATCAACAAATATCCGCCAAGAATTCCTCCACTTCATGGCGTATCCAAGTGAGAGCGAACGTCCCTACGCCCCTGGCGGCGTCCGAGCGACTGGAGGCAGCGATGCGGCGTTTACATGCACAACATATCAACGCAAAGACAACGAGATTCAGAGTCGGCTGAAGACTTTGATCGACGACTCAGCTGCCCACGATGTCATTTCCAACAGTGGCGAGATCGCATCGTGTGGCGCTCTCACCGTTGCCTCGAGGTGCATTGCATGGATTGACGTGCGGGACATTGCGTACATGTGGCCTAAGGATGAGTTTGTTGGGGTCATATATTAAGGTGGGTAGTCAACATCCTGGGCTCTAGCGACGACCGGTGTGCCATTTCCACAAGATGAAGGCAAACACGACTTGGAGGAGCAGGGCGTAGCCAACTAGCACGATCATGTACGCGTCAACGTCGACTTCTTCGATGTTGAAGCGCTTCAGGATGGCCTGCGACGCCGGCGTCTTCATGGGCTCGAATTGCTTGTACATGAACGACTTGAATGAGTAGCTGTGGAATGCAATGTAGTGAACCCATCGCCAGCCCGACGGGATCGACTTGTACGGCACCATGAAGCCTTCCACGAGCATAAACATACCAAACACCCCCGCACCGAGCGCAATCCCGATGATGTAGTGGGGCGCCGTCGCACCGAGGACATGCATGAGGGATTCCGCCACAACGAGGCTCAAGAACAAGTTGAGCAAGAAGTACCCGAACGAGTTCAGGCCGGCCAGCCCCACAACAATCCCCGACGACACGAGCGCAATGAGGAAGATGCCCGGCAGCGCCGCGAGAAAGTTGGCGACGACATAACTCCCGACACTGAGCGAGTTGTTGGCGCGCTCGCGGTTGAACACGACCCGTTGCTCGATAAAGAACGGAAGCACTGCGACGCTCATAAAGACCAAGAACGCTTGGACGTAAAAGAGCAGCGCGGTCAGGTCTTCTTCGCTCGTGTTGAACACGTACACGCTGCCGACCATAAGCGACAGCATGATGTACATGACGATGCGGACGCCGTACACACCGGGGTTGCGAACGTTGTTGAGCGAGTTGCGGTGGAGGAGCATGGCGAGCTGGGCCAGGGCCGACGGTCGCATGTCGTTTTTGAACTCCTTGGGGAGTTGAATCGAGGCAAGCGTCGTGCGATCGGTTTGGATACCCGCATGCAAGCTCTTGTTGAGGTCGCTCGTGGTGAACGCCATCGAGATCGCATCGATGTCTGCGTGACCTTCGAAATCCGTGTTGACGAGTTGCAGGAAGAACTCGCCGGGGTTGGTGAACTGGGGGCACGGGTGGCCGATGCTGGCGAAGTGCGTGAGCGACGCACTGGGCGGTCCAAAGAATGCCGTGCTGCCCTTGGACAGGATCATGACGTTATCAAACATGTTGTACACGACCGAGCTCGGCTGGTGGATCGTGCACACAATGGTGCGGTTTTGCTTGGCAAGCTTGGCGATGTAATTGATGAGGGCGTAAGTGGAGGCCGAGTCGAGGCCCGACGTTGGCTCATCGAGCAGGAGGATCGTCGGGTGGCTCAGGAGCTCAATGGCGATGCTCAACCGGCGCTTCTGGCCACCGGAGAGACCCTTGCGGAAGATGTCGCCGACAATCGTGTGTTCGCACGATCGCAGCCCCATGTCGTCGATGGCTTCTTGCACTCGGCTCTCGCGCTCGATGGCGGACACAGTCTTGGCCACACTCAACTTGGCGGCATACCGCAGCGTTTCAAGCACGGTGAACGACCCCAAGAGCGAATCTTCTTGCGCGACGTAGGACGTGAGAAGGCGGAAGTTCTTGTCGCGGGGTTTCCCGTTCACTTCGATCTCGCCCGAAATTTCGCCGCTCGAAACACGGTCGGCCAGAATGTCCAGGAGCGTCGTCTTGCCGCTGCCGGATGGTCCCATGATCGCAGTGAGTTGGCCAGGGACACATCGGCCGCTGATGTTGCGCAGGATGTGCTTTTCTTCCGTCTTGGAAGGTACTTTGAAATTGAGGTTGTTCCAGCTCAGGGTGCAGGGGTGGAGGGCCGAGTCGGTGTGGACCTCCAGGAACGCAGCATCGAGGGCCATGGTTGGGCTGTCGGACGTTCAAAGGAAGTTGGAGAGTGGCGTTGCACGACGTCGGTTCACGGTCACGTGTGTCTCCTTCCATTTTCCCACCTTTTCGCCGCGGCGTGATGGTTGAAGTTTTAGTGAACACAAACTGGTCACTCCAACGCCACCTCAGGCAGGAAGCCATGTCATAGTTGAACCCTGATAAAATTGAAAGCCTTGTGTGCAACGTGGACGAAGCACGATCGCACGACGACATTTTGCTGCTTCATTTAGGCATACTGACCAGCATAACATTCCACATCGGCTTGTCGTCAATTTTCAATTGTCATCCCTCCTGACCTTTTTACCCTTCAAACTTTCGCGCTCGTCGCTGGTAACGTGGCATGCGAGTGCACGGAGGCAACCCCATTGCGCTTCGACGCCAACTTGGCGCCGACAGGACCAAGTTCACGTCGACGCTACGAAGGGAAGATGCACATGCGTTTTTGGATCGTTCAACCGCACCAACATGGATCGGATTGTGGAGCGAACATTATGTCTTTTTAAAGGTTCAACATTACGCGACCACGCAATATGGTACGCAGTTGACGCAGACAGTTTCCCGTGGAGTGCGCGGCCGTGAATGCGATCCAGGCCCAGGGCACGCAAACCATGTCAAGGAGCGGCGCTGCCTTGTGGACGAGTTGGGGAAGCGAACGGCTCGTCGTCCACACGAGCTACGCAAAGCACCAGTCGGAGTCGAAAGACATTGGTAGATTGGTAGGGTCCTTGCTAGGCATTGCGTGCAGCGCGTGGGCGACGATGTGCAACAACTGTGGGCTGAGGCGACGTGACTGCTCCCTACACCGCGGTCGCGTGAATTTCGGACGTCGACAACTAAACATTGATTTGTTGTACATTGTGTCGAATTTGAATTTTGTAAAATGATTTTACAAAATTCAAATTCGACGCTAAAGTAATTCGATTGGCTTGCAAAAAAACGGACTGAATTTCCCAAACTTTTACCACATCGGTTCAGAAAAGTTGGCGTTGCGATCGTTGGTACATAGTCGCCTGAGCGTCGACCTCTGTTCTCTTCCCACAGCACCACCTTCGTTGTGCAGGAATGCGAAAACATGAATTTGTCATCGTTGGGGAGCATCCAATGCATACCAGATACCCTGGACGAAACAACTCAAACGTATAATTCGAGCGACACACACTAGAGTGATTTCGCTGACGGGAGGTTCTATTTGGTAGGAACCGAAACCATGACTTCATGAAAAATCTTGGCTTAAACTCAATGAGTAAGGAAACTAGTTCTCTACCTGACAAGTAGAGATTCCAATGGCATTTGTGCCTTGGCAATTTATGAGGGACATGGAATGGTCGGCGCAGGCCTCCTCTACTTTGGGAGGGCTCTGCGCCAGCCGGTCCCCCATCTACCTCAAGCGTACACGAACAGGCATGTATCTAGACAGCGTTCGCACGAGGCGGCCTATCTAAAGCGCTTCACGCCGAGGTTGATGAGTGTCTTGACGCCGCGCAACCAGTCTTTGTGCTGGGCCCAGTCGGTCGTGGTCAATTGCGTGTGGAGGTTGCCCGCCGTGCGAAAGTCACTTCGACCAAACGACTGGACCATCTCGTGCAGGTGCTTCACAACGTTCGGCGCCAACTCTCCCGTGTTGAGCTTGGTGAAGAGCAGGTCCTTGGCCTTGTGGATCTCGGGCAGCTGCTTCGCTTCGATCTATACAAACCACCGGGTCAACAGTTGCAATTCTCGCGCGAATGCTGTACCGGCGATAGCTGGGAGTTTTCTAAGAGAGACACGAAGTCGTTAAAACCCTGGACAATCGGCATATCGTCGGCCGACACGTTGTCCGTGGCGCCGAGCGGGGCGGCGGGAGCAGGCGTCGTGGGCTGGTTGTGGAAGCCGGCGGCTTTTTCCGTTTCGGTCGGGGACAAAATCGCGTTGGTCGAGTTGCCGTACTTGCGAATGAGGTCCTTGTTGCCAACGCTACTGACAAACCCGTCGGCCTTGCCCTTGGAAATGTCCACGGGAATCGTGGAAATGCGGGACGACGGGTTCGGCAGGGCTGTGGGTTGGGCGAACCCACCGTGTACGGCGGCAGCGGGTGGTGGGGCGTTCACTTGCTGGGGGGCACCAAATCCTACCCCAGGGGTGGCGTGGCCTTGAGGGGGGACCGGGAACCCACCGGGATTTGAGGGAGGACCTGTTGCGCCAAACGTGCCAGGCGTGGATGCGGCTGAAGGGGCGCGATAAGGTGCAGCTTGTGCGCCATAAGCAGGAGGTGGTGCACCGTATGCAGGTGTGGTGGCGCCATATCCTTGAGTGGGTGCAGCAGGGGTCGCACCATATGCAGAAGGAGTGGGGGCACCACCGAAAGTGCCTTGGGGTGCAGATCCATACGCAGGAGTAGGTGCACTGCCGTACGCAGGCGTAGGTGCAGGAGCCGTGGCATACCCACCCGCAGCGGCGCCATAGCCTCCAACGGGAGTCGGCACAGGAGCGCTATTCCCGTAGGTAGATGGGTACTGCGTTTGTGCAGGGGCGCCGTAAGCAGGGGTAGCAGGAGTTGGGTACGCTGTGGCTTGAGGTTGATTGTAGCTCGAGTTGTTGTACTGCTGCTGTGAATATTGAGCAGTGTGTCCGTAGGCAGCTGCAGCAGGTTGTGGGGCAGCTCCACCGTACGCCCCTCGCGCAGCGCTACCCGCAGCTGGTTGGCCGTACGAGGGAGTGGCAGGCTGGTGTTGGTATTGGGTTCGGTTGTTTTGCTGAGGCGCTGTGGCTACCGGCGTTGTGTCGATAAATGGCGACGGAGGGGGGCGGACTTGGGGGTTAGGGGCGGCATGGTACACGCGGTCGCGAATAATCGCGCAGCTCACGTCAGCGTACTTGGCGTAGCGCTGAGCAATGTCAAGTCGACCTTGTCCCGCCATCTAGAAACATCGACGTTGACTGCCGTCCCCAAGCAAACGAGATGCAGTCGACCACAACGTACCAGCGAAGCATACGCTGCAAACTGACTCGCCACTTCCGGGCTCAGTTCCTGGTCTGGGTTGTCGGACGCTTGAGCAAAAATCGAGATCTTCTCGATCAAATCTTGCAGTACGAGGACGGGGTCGCGGGACGTGGACTCGATCGCCGCTTCCTTGACCCACGCGGTGACGGTTTTCTCCACGTTGAACGAGCACATGTAGCAGAGAGTTGCGGACGCGACGTCTCCGTGGGACTCTAGCTTGGCCGCGAGCTGGTCGACCAACACGCCAAATTCGTCGCCAGTGGCGTAGGTAGTAAGAATCGCAAGGGTTTCCATCCACAGCTCTACGTGCGACTCATTCACGAGCGATGACAAGTCGCGCTTCATCATGGCCTTGACAATCTTCATGAACGGACGTCCTTTCCCGGCCGCCAAACACGCTTCCTGCGTTCTCGTCCACAACTCTTCGCCGCCCTGGCAAGCCAACAGCAGAGCGTCCGACAGCTGAAAGTTGGCCAAACACACATCCACGGCCGCTTCAAAGTCCCCCACGAGCACCAGTCGCTTGATGATGCTTTCTGACGCTTCGGTGTATGTCGGCGGGTGAGGGCCGTCGATGCGCTTGCTCGTGTCCGTAGGAATTCCTGTCGATTTAACGGACGTCGTCGGGTGCGACGGCGCCGTTTCAGCAGGCGGCGCGGCTCCAAACACGTCTGCGGCGCTCACCTGTCCAAGTCCGCATGAGAACATCTAGTCGATGGAATGTGTTACCGTACCGCAGGTTGGTGAGGTTGCTGCACCGGCGGGGCAACTTCGGCGGGCAGAGGCTCATCCTTGCCCAAATACGTGCGCGCATCCGCCTTGATCTTGTCGCTGTCGTAGCCCAAATGCAACAGGAGCTGCGTGCGCGCTGACGCTCGATCAAACAAAATCTTCATAAAGCTCCACGTAGCCTTGTCCGCGGGTCGCTTGGCGTTGGCGACTTTGTTGTCGCAGTGGCCTTGGAAATTCCGTTGAGCTAGCGCTTGTTCGAGCAAGTCGGCGCCGGCAACGATGGACGGGTCACTCGTGATCTTGTGGATGTGGACAGGGCGCGGCACTTTGGGCTGGCCGTACTGCTGCTGTTGAGGCTGCGCAGGGGTACGCGCGTTTGTGACGACGAGTTTGCCACCAAACCCAAACGTCGCGCTCACAGGACGCGTGGTCCACTTGGGGGCGCGAGCGGCACTGGTGCCGCTTCCCGTGAGTCCCCACACTTGAACTTTGCCGTCGAATGTGCAAGCCGAGGCCACTGCGGGAATCTTGGGAGACCACTGAACATTAAATCGGCGTTGTCCCCCGCCACCTCCCGAGAAAAACGAGCCACCGACGGGTTGGGCGGCGACGTTCGAAGGCAGCTCGAAGAATGGCTGACCGGTGAATAGGTCCCAGAGTAACGTACGGTTGTCCTTGGCACTCGACAAAACAAACCCTAGAGACAATGCGCTCGTGACGAGGAAATGCGAAGACATGAGTACCTGCGTCGTTTGGACACCACGACATGGACAGAATGCCGGCAGTATGGCCTTGGAGTTCGGCGAGCGGAGTCGACGTTGAGCTGCGGAGATCCCACAGACGCAAGACAGGGCGCTGGTCGTCGGAAGACGCTGTGATGATGTGCAGACCTTCGTTCGGGTTCCAAGCGACACAGGAGACGGGAGATCGGGACATGTCCTTCAGCTCACAGAATGGTTTCTTCGACTTCATATCCCACACCACTGTCGAACCGTTCTGGGATCCGCTCGCGAGAATGTGCGCGACTTGTGTGTTCCAAGCCAAGCTGAACCAAGCAACATCAGGCATTGGCGAGGAGAATGCGCACTCCTGACGACGTACCATGTGATTTCGTTGCCAGGAGTCGCCGTGTAGTTGGGGCCACCTGGGGTGTACACTTGGGGAGCGTTCAGTTTGTCCAACGACATGACAAACACTTCACCGTCGCCACCGCCGGACGCCAACAGGTGCGACATATCTGGGTGAGGGTTAAACTGCACAGCATTGACAGGCCCCTTGTGTCGCGACACTTTGCCCACTTCGGCCGGCGCGTTCGTGGCAATCTTGGACGGGTCCCAAATGTTGACCGTCCCATCAGCCATACCACCAGCGAGCACGCCGAGTTCCATGGAGCTTTGGTGACGGACAACATCTGCCCACGACAGAGACAGGAATCGCGACGACGTCTTGATCGATCCGAGTTGGATCGGGGCGGGTGTCACGTCGGTAAAGTCCATCGACATGAGCTGCAGTTCACCACCGTAGCTCTCAAAGCCGACACCGACACCATCCTTGGATCCAAGGGCAATCAGGTTGCTTCTGCGCTTGATGGGGCTCCATGCGACCGTCGCGGACGCATTCACTTCCTTGAGCAACGACATGGCTTCCAAAATGGGATGGAAGGAGAAATTGCTCCCTTACAAACTCCAAGATATTTTTTCGAATGATTTTCGAATAAATTGCCCCATACAAAGTGACTGCCAGCCGCAGGTCGGGCCAAAACGATCTCTGATTGGTCCGAGTCAAGCCAATCGGAACGTGCTTCGTCAAGGGTGCCGCCACACGATGGCAGCCATGGATTGGTTAAAAATCAGGCATTTATGCACCAATCAAAACGCAGAGCTACAGCATTAACGTCCGCAAGTTGTGGCATGGAGGGAAGACAAGCATACTTTAACCGTAATAAATACGTGCTCAATATATTGCCATCTAAACGCGAAACACGACCAAGCAGGTGCCATTACATCGCTAGATAACGTTGTGGTGCTCGCTCGTAACGTTACAACGGCAGGGTGCGCAACCAGAGGCCACGCACACGTGTGCACGCGTTGCTTTCGTGGACAAGCAAATCGCGCACGTCGTGCAGTCTCATGCAATGTACGCGCAGTTCAGCACACATTCCTGGTTAGGGTACTTGAGTCACCCAGCGTCCAGCATGGGCAACCTGGAATTGTCTCGTAAAGAGACGTCGATGGGTGCTGTCGCCGCATGCTAAGTAGACATGACGCTGTCTCAAGTCCACGTGGGGATGATTCACACGCACGTGTGTAATCGAGTGTTTCAGGTAAAGGTGCGTCGTCATATCCTTGTAATCGTCGCCGTGGCAAGTTCAAGGGAGCTGCCGAATGTTGGTCTGGATAGCAAGATATAAATAAGGCGACTGTAATAAAATAAAGGTGCGTCGGGATTAACGTTGGGATCTCGTGTTGGACGGGCGAAGGGGAATTTTATTACGGCTACGGGACCCCCTTCCGCAGAATTTGACTGCCAAGTCGCCGCAACGATGGCGACGCCGGGCGTGATCAGCAAGCAGCAGTCCACGTTGGAGAACGTGGAAAACATGCCCATCGCGGTGGGGGACACCGTGTGGGTGCCTGGCGCTGATCAAGTGTGGGAGCTGGCCTCCGTCATGGCGATTGGGGGGCTCAAAGTCACGGTCCGAAACTCGCACAACAAGGTTGCGCAAGTCGATCGCGGCCTGTCGTTGCCGCAAAACCCGCGCGTCACCGATGACATGACGGCCCTATACTTTATTCATGAGCCTGGTGTCTTGCACAACTTGTCGGAACGCTCCAAGCTCGACGGACAGCGACCCTACACTTTTATGGCGAACGTACTGATTGCAGTGAATCCCCTGAGGCCCCTCGCCGACCCGCGCATCAGTGAGATCGTCAACAACTCCAACTGTCCCCCGCATCCCTATGCTGTCGCGGAAATGGCGTACCAGCAAATGGTGTACAACTCCACCCGGGAAATGCCCACGAATCAATCTGTCGTCATTTCCGGCGAGGTACAATGCGATTGCTCTGTCCTTTCTGTTCAATCTTATTGCTCTGTAGTCTGGGGCCGGGAAGACTGAATCGTCCAAGATCGTCCTCAAGCACTTGACAACCCGCGGTGTGTTTGGCAAGAAGGCAACGCCTGCGCAAGTCGACGAATTTGCCGCCGCGCGCCACGACAACTCCAACTCGCTCGACAACCGATTGATCGAACAGAATCCGATCTTGGAAGCGTTTGGGAATGCCAAGACATTGCGAAACCACAACTCGTCTCGCTTTGGCAAGTTTATGAAGCTCCAGTTTACGGCGGACGGCGCGTTCAAGCTCGCGGGCGCGTTTGTCGAAACATACCTGTTGGAAAAGTCGCGTCTGGTGTACCAGGTGAGCCGCATCCCTTCGTTGAAACTCTTTCCTGCGCATTGATTGTGCACGTCCAGGTCGATGGCGAGCGCAACTTTCACATCTTTTACCAACTCTTGCAAGGCGGGTCCGTGCAGTCGAAGGCCGAATTCAAGCTCACCAAGGCGCAGGACTACCACTACCTGAACCAGAGCAACTGCTACGTGGCGGAAGACACGGACGACAAGGCCAACTACAACGCGGTGGTGCACGGGTTGGGCTGCGTCGGCATGGACACGGCCAAGCAACACACAATCTTTTCCATCGTCGCCGGGTTGCTCCACATGGGGAACATCGATTTCGACGAAGAAGACACGGCCGAAGGCGAGGCCGCCATCGTGCAATCGCCTGCCGCTGTGAATGCACTCACAACGGCGGCGGCGTTGCTCGGTTTGGACTCGAAGGCCATGCTCAAGGTTATTACGGAACGTGAGATCGTGACGCGCGGGGAGCTCTTTGTTGTCCGCCGCAACGCGCAGAATGCCGTGTATGCCCGAGACGCGATTGCCAAGTCGATTTACGGCCGCCTCTTCGACTGGATCATCTCGCAAGTGAACATCTCGCTCGGGCAGGACCCGCAGCCGCTGCCGTACATTGGTGTGTTGGATATCTTTGGGTTCGAGTCGTTCCAGCGCAACGATTTCGAGCAGCTCTTGATCAACTACACGAACGAAGTCCTCCAGCGCACGTTCAACAATCAAGTGTTTATCGCCGAAATGGAGTTGTACAAGCGGGAAGGCATCACGGTCGGCCGCATCGATTGGCCCGACAACCGCGAGTGCGTCGAGCTGATTGCGGCGAAACCAAGCGGGATTTTGCAACTCTTGGACAACGAAGCGGCCAACCCAAAGCCGTCGGACGCCAAGTTCCTCGCCCTCCTCCACCGCACGCACGACAAGAACCCGTTCTTTCCCCGTCCCCATCCCAAGGATATGCAGGAAATGTTTATTGTGCGCCACTTTGCTGGGTGCGTCAGCTACACAATCGGCGCCTTTATCGACAAGAACAACGACACGATCCCCAAGGACATGGCGGATCTGTTTTTGTCGTCGAGCTTCCCTGTCGTCCGCGAACTCTTTGACGAAGAAGCGAACGAAAGCAAGGTCGCGCCGGGCAAGAAGAAGACTCTCAAGAGCGTCGCCGCCAAGTTTACAAAGCAAATGCAAGAGCTGGTCGACACGCTGGACGCGACCCGATGCAACTTTATCCGATGCATCAAGCCGAACGCGTTGATGAAGGTCGGGTACTTTGATCCGCGGTACGTGGTTGGCCAACTGCGATGCCAAGGCATCATGCAAACGGCCCAAGTGCTCAAGGTCGGGCTCCCGACCCGCGTCGCGTACAACGAACTTGTCGGCGCGTACAAGAAGTACATGCCCCCCGACGCGCAGCGCTTGTTTGCGCAGCAAAGTGATGCGACGCTGATCACGGCGATCCTGTGGGCGTTCCAAGTCCCGAACGACGCGTTCAAGCTAGGTATTTCCAAGCTGTTTTTCAAGGCTGGCAAGATCAGCTTGCTCGATGCGATTTTGAAGCTGAACTGGAACACGGACGGCCCGCGCATCGTCGGTCGCATGAAGTTGTGGCTCGCTCGTCGTCGCTGGCGTGTGGCGTTGGCCAAAGTCCAGTCTCAACTCGAGTGGAAGAGCATGCTGCGCCGCATCCAGTACCGCAAGGACGCCGTTCGCCGCATTCAGATATGGTGGCGCGGGTTCTCTGTGCGCCATCAATTCCTCAAGCAAAAGACATCAGCGATTCTGATTCAAGCCGTGTTCCGAGGCCACAAGGGCCGTCAAGCATTCAAGGTGAAGAAGATCGAAATGATCGCGGCCGCCAATGCCCGCGCCGAAGAGAGTCGCCGTCAAGCCGAGGAAGCCAAACGTGCCCAGGAAGCTGCGCAACGCGCCGCCGAGGAAGCGCGCCGTCAAGCAGATTTGGCTCTCCGCGAGGCCGAACTCCGTGCTATCGCCGAAGAAGAACGTCGCAAGATGGAAGAAGATGCCAAGCGTGCCGAAGCCGAAGCCATCGCGTTGGCCCGTGCGGCCGAACTCGCGGTCCGCGAAGCTGAGCTCGCCGCCACGGAAGCGGCAGCAGCCGTCGAGCACGAGCGGCAAGCAGAACGCAAGGCAATGCAAGAAGCGCACGACCTGGAAATGCGCATGATCCGCGAACGCGAAGAAGCCCAAAAACGCAAAGAGCAAGCATTGTTGGACGCGGCGGCGCTTTCCGCCGGTCTCCTTGGCGGCTTGGCCACCGTGAACGCCATGAACTCGACGCAAGGTCGCAACGTGAGTGTCGTCGAAATCCCAGACAACATCTCGGAAGAAAACAAGGAGCAGCTCAAGCAACTGAACGAACTGTTGCTTTCCGGCGCGATCGACCAAGCCGAGTACGAGGAATTGATTCCGTTCCTGCTGGAAGCCCAGCAAGACCGGTCCCCCGCCGCTGGCCCTGTGCTCACCCCCGAAGAACAGGAGTCACTCAACCGATTGTACAACACGCAAATCTATGGCATTCAAATCCGATGCCCGGCCTGTGGGGTCAGCAACAACACGGCCAACGGCAACAACTGTACAGAATGCGGCAGTATGCTCACGGCCGCGGCGGGCGAACATGGCTCTGCAGCCGATCATCGGTACGTCCGATTCACGTTGCATGACGATGATGGTGAATAATCATGCCTGACGTAGGTACTATGGCGCGCGCACGCGATCGATGTCAACGTCGGCGTTGAGCACGCCGCCGGGATCGTTTACAATGGACGGGACGCGTGTGTCGATCCACGGCGGATTCTTCCAGTGCGGCATGCATGGCACGCAGATGCTCCAGGACGAAAACTTCGCCGAGTATACGGTGTATGTGCTCCGTTGTGGGTGGCAGGCCAAGGAAGCGAGCGCGCCAACATACTGGCTCATCTCGCATCGCTTTTCCGTGTTTGAAAAGCTGCACAAGGATCTCAAGCACAAAATCCCACCCAATCTCGCGACGCTGCCGTCGTTCCCGCGCAAGCATCGCTTGGCGGGGGTGTTTGCCGGTCGCACGGGCAACTCGAACGAGATCGTCGAAGAGCGGAAGCAAGCGCTGGAGCGGTACATGAACGAAGTGATTGAAATCTGCGCGCGATTGCCCAGCACGTTGGCCGTGCCGGAATTGGATCGTTTCTTAAACTTGTCGCGCCAAGTGCAGCAGTTCCAGCGCCAGTTGGGCCTGTTGGCCGGGATCGAAAGCACTTTGCAGCCGTCCAACATCCACCTGGAAGGGGCGGAGGCGCTGGCAGCCCGCGAACAAGCCCGCTTGCCCACGGAATTGCCGACGCCGCTGGACGAAGAAGAGCTTGGACAGACGGAAGAGGCCGTCCATGTGCTGATGAACGCCATTCGCAACGCCCAAGGCGACTTACGACGCAACCAGGAGGTGCAAACGTTGCTCAAGGTGTGCGTCCAGCTGCAGCCCCGGCTTCAAATGAGCGCCAACTTGGACAACCCGTTTGCCAACGTCGAGCTCATTCCCCGTGCTATGCAGTGCCAAGAAGACTTGGAAACGACCATCGGGCTCTACAACGACTCTCTGTTGGCTGTCACGGAAACGTACACGATCTCGGGCGCGAACCAGCCGCCGGCGCCGTTCGTCCCAGGCCAAACCAACTCGTATCAACGTTCGTATGGGTACTAAAATCGTCGACGACAGGGTAGGAAGAAGGCAAGCCCCACCGGCAGGACTGCCCAGAAGCAACGCGTGCGGCCACATTATGCATGTTCAATTCATTTTCAGTCGAAATCGATGGCCCCACTCGTGCGGGCAGTGTCCCGTCCGCGGTGGACGTACTCGCCAGACTCGATCGATCCCGTGCTGGACGCGTTGTCATCGATGGACGATGCAGGCATGAAGAGCGTGTGGAGTTGGCCGTCTTCCACGGACGACGAGTTGGACGGTGGTGCACTTACAACGGCCCGACGAGTCGACGATGGCCAGTGGGCGTTGTGGAGATGATAAAACGTCGAGTGCGCCGGACCGCCGTCGACTTCGCCGTCGCTGACGTCGTCGGGGACGTGCAAAACTTCGCCTTCCGATAGCAGGTCCTCGCCGTCGTTCCTACGATATGTCAAGCGCATCACGTCAGGACTAAAAACGTACTGCGACTCGATGGCGACGCTGCTGTCAACACTGCGGCTGTTGACGCTCGAGACTGACGTGGGTCGAGGAGCTACACCCAACTGCATGGCCGGTGCGTCCCAGGAGTAGATTTTGGTGGCCGATGGATGTGCCACGGCTGGGTCTTGCTGGTCAAGCGGTGTCGAGTTGGGGCGGTCGGCCAATGCAGCAGGGAGCACTTGACCTAGAAAAGCCTGCGGAGGAGCTGGCAGAATATGCTGACGTGATGGAAGCTGCCACGTGTGTGGGGGGAATTCTGAAACGGGAGACAGTGGAGGAGCGGGGGGTGGAGGGTCGTTGGCATGGTGCCGTCGAGGGGACCGTGGAGACGGTGGAGGTCGAACAGTCCTGCGAAGGCGCGCCGCTCTCATCTGTCGCAGTGTCGACGCGAGTGAAGTGGGGGGCTGCATCTGGCCTCGCACGTTGCACTCGCCAATGGCATCGCAGTGGAGCAACTTCCCGAGCAACGTTTTGCCTGGCAAATCCGCCACGTTTCGAACAACGTGCTTCTCCTGCACTTCAACTGCGACCACCTCGGATGGAAGTGCTGGCGGCGGCGCCTCAACCAAGTCGTTCGTGTCGGTGGCTTGCTCCATCGTGGCGACTCTCGTGTCCACGACTTGGTCCATGGACGGTGCGATCTCTGGTACTTCAGGGGGGCTTTCCTTCGGCATGGAGGGACAAGGTAGCGACACGAGAGCAGGTTTGAACTGCCGCATGTGCTCTACGAGGAACTCCTTGACGAGGTCGGCGGCATGGACTTCCATCTCGACAGCATTCATTTGAACTGGGGTTGGCTCCATGGTCAGCTCGGCTTCCATCCCAACCAGTCCGGTGGTGTCGCCAGGCGTGATCGTTTGCTGCATCTTGAGTTGCTCTTGCAATAATTCGCGCGCGATTTGGCGCACTGTCTGCAAAGCTCTCCATGGAGACGATTCGACTTGTCTGCGTGCCATCTTACCTCCGCATCTATCGACGACCTCGCAGTTTCGTCCATGCGTTCGAAAACGCGGGCGGCGATCACCTCGGGCAGAGCTTGCTCCACATCAAATGCTGCAGCACCAACGTCATCCAGCACGAGGGGAGCCCGCTGTTGCGGCAGTGCTGTCGCGTGAACTGGTTTGGGTTGTGTCGGGGGCTGCCAGTTCGCATCCTTTGCGGCCAAGACGAACGCCTGGAACTGGCGAAAGGTGATGACGCTGCGTTGGGACTCGGTCAAGTTGGCGGCCTGAGTGAAGAAGGTCGAGATGCGAGATGGAGGGACGTAGACGTTCAATCTGTGGAGCGCAATGGATGTCTCGAGTTTGGTCAGACACCCGTCTCGGTCGCTGTCCAAGTCGTGAAAGAGGCGCCGCAGAAACGGACCGCTCCACACGGCATTCACATCAGTGCCGTAGCCAAAAGCAACAGCAGGCATCGTCCGATGGCTCGACAAGACCTTCAAGAAAACGTAAGGCGCACGAACGAAGTACATGGGCATACTTGTGGGCCAAGTGAAGAGACCAAACGCGGAGGTGGTACGACGGGTGTTGGAATCGCGGGTGGGGACGCTGGGCAGAGCTGCACCTCTTCTACATGTGGAGTTGTTGGTCGACCTGTGGCAGGAGCTGATGTGGCTCGATGAATTGGCTCGGATGGAGTCGAAGTTGGCTCAGGAGATGGGGCCACAGACTGTGCTGACGTCAATGGGGCGTTCAACGGATCACGTGTTGTCAAGGATGGCAAGGCTTGAGACGAAGGCCGAGGGGTGACTTGTTCGCTTTGTATCCTGGGTGATTGCTTTGGTGTAGTACTGGGACGTACGAATGGAGGCTGATTCTTTGGAATATCGGCGTTAAGGTGGCTGAGCGAGCCATGGTCTTCCCACGGGATGTCGACGGTGACGGGAGGAGCTGGCTTTGGTCTCACCCACGCCTGCGCAGTGCATGAGGTATCCATGCTGCTGGAAGTCAAGAGGTGACCTTTTTTGGTTGTCGCACACTCGTTGTGGTCTGCGCTTTGGGATATTTGGACGCTGTACTCCCGTCCGAGAGTCGCGTGGGTTGCGACTTTGGCTTCGCAAGGTCAGCAATTCGTCGAGGAAGGACGTCTGAACCGTTGACAAGAGTGTCATCAGTATGCGCTTGAGCACGTTTGACTTCAGCTGCTTGCAGTCGCTTGCCACGTTCCTTCGGGTCTTTCATCCACGACGCAACATGGGCAATTCGAGTCGCGACACTGCGCGAGATGTCTCGTATTCTCCAGTCCACACTATCGTCTGTAGTGAGTGCGCTGGCTATGGCACTCATCCCCAAGCCCTTCTCAATCTCCCATGCTCTGTCCGCCGTCGCCCGCAGGAGCGCATATTCGCTGTCCAAATCCAACATGCCCTTGGAGAACGTGACAAGGATTCGAAAATCGGCCGCGTCCGGATATTATTCGGATTGCACCCTCCGTGCAACGAGACCGCAAAAGTGCTATTGTCATCGCTGGCATCGGCTCGACGCTGTCCCGGATTCGTAGGAGGCTCCATGCGTGCGAGCCTTCCCTGTGCACGTGAGTTGGTTATGTGTACATCAAATGACATACAAGCGCAACGCCTCACGCCCATGGAGGAATTCGCGTCTGCAGATGATCTCTCGCCATCGTATCAGTTCTCCTTGAATGGCATCATCGGCGTGGTAGAGCGTCACTCCTCGCTGAAGTGCCTTTGACGCTGTACTCAACTTGACCCTACTGCTGGGTACATTGGATCGCACCATACTTTCACAAACTTGAAGCATCACTTCATGGACCTGAACCAACCGCCAGGACTGCTGGCGATGCTGTGCAATGATTTCGACAAGATCCCATGCGGCTGCATTCCATCCAGTTGATCCTCGACAAGAATGCGGACGAAAAGAGCAGCGACTGAAATTACCACGTTTTACATCGAGATAAGCAAGTCAAACTGCTCTCCGTTCGGTGTCCCTAAACGTTCCTTCGCAACACTGCAGCATCGGACGACATGCATGGGATAGAAACCTTCCAAGACTTCCCGCGCAATCGCACCCGACGTGTTGACGGAGCTCTCTAACGGTACTACACACAACACCGCAAATCATCCGTCAATCCACCACTTGTTCGTCGTGGTGTTCCTGCTGCGACCTGTGTCTCCTGCACCACATCCTCATATGCAAGCTTACCTTGACGAAACCAATCTGGGTCGCACGCTCACGGAAGCAGCGGCGGCACATGTCCAAGCCGTACTTGCTGATCACACCACGGGTCGTGGCGCAAGCGCGGCAGCGCTTCGAGTCCTTGCCGTAGGTACGGGGGTGGGTGTAGGTCAGATTGGTCATACTGATTGTCTGTTTGCAGCTATACACACACAACCCACGATCAACTTACGTCACGATCCCCCATCGTCGTCGACGGAGTTACCTGTTGGAGGGCCGGGACGCAAATGAGCCGTGAAGTCGGCACCATTGATAAAACCAACCAATTCCAGCCAAGGATCAAATGGACCAATCGGAGGATCTCTGTATCCGGATCCGGAAGTTCGAGTGGAATTCGGATGTTATCCGGACTCCGCCAGAATACCGAGAAAGAGCAGTTGCGGGAAACGATGCACGGAAGAGCGAGGAAGGCGACGCACCGGCGGACGCCGGCGGCGGTCGCGACCACGCAAGACGGCGGTGCGTTCGATCGAAACAACAACTCAGGGGGCAGTAGCCTCGTGGACGTCATCGACTCGATCGAAGACGAGTCTGCGGACGCCATGATCCTGCAGTACTTTATGGACTTTACCGACGACAGCAAGTCGACGGTGGAACGTCCGGAAGAACCGTCGCCGCCGAAGGAGCGTTCCCCAGATGAAGAGGAGGCTCTGAGGAGGCTCAAGGAAAAACAGAACAAACACCGACTCAACAACATCCGCCATCGACAACGCAAGCAGTGCGAGAACGACAGCTTGCGCACGGAAGTGGTCGAGCTTGAACAGAGGCTCAATGCACTCCAAGCTAGCAGTGCACGTCGAGGGCAGCAGCGAGGCCTACGCAACGAGGCGGCGATTCGACAGCTCAAGGAAGAATCCAAAGCAGAGAAACGAAAACGCGATGAGTCGGAAGACGAGCACGCGATTCTGCTCCGCACGGTGCATTCGCAGCGGGATTTGATTCAACTGTACTTCAAACGCATCACAACGACCCATTGCATGCATTCCAATCACGTGGTACATGCCTGCCTACTCGTATTCGTGTGGTCACATGGGCGTCCGTAGATTCTCGAGAACGAGCCGTTCCTCATGTACACATTGATGGGGTGCCCGGACGTGCGCGCGAACGGCTACGACTGGATCATGACCCAAATGAGGCGCAAGCTTGACGTGGCACTGACGTACCTCCATTCGTATGTGGGCAATCACATTGAAGAAGATACGAAGATATACTTGGGTGACAATACCGTCGATCTTGTTCGCAACCACATGTGGACATTCCCAACGCTGCAGGTCGCCCAATCGAGCTGGGAATCGTTCACCCGCATCAACACAGACCCGTCTGCTGCGCGAAGGACATCGGTGCGATGACATCTTTGATCGTTGACTCGTCTCAACGAACGTGCTAGCGCCTTGAAGTAATTGACCCCGACACGTTTTACACACGCATCATCATCGACGATGGCATCATTCCTGGGAAGCCCCTGACGCTCAACATGCTCCAGAGGTTGACCTTCCCATCGTAGCTTGGACGAGATGGCCAACGCGTGTTGTGTAGCCGATTCATGCAAGGAAACCGTGCTGTCATTGCATTTCGAACGATCAGCGAGGACAACCTGCACCCGATCGAGTCAAATGGAATGTGCGACCTCAGCGTCGCAGGATGGTTCGTTCTCGGACGCCATGTCCTTGCACTGATCGTGTTGGATCTAGGTTGTCGTTTGAGCCAAATCCTGATGGTACAACACATGCCAAAGTGTTTGTCAAGTTTCGCACCGATCATTCAAACGGAGAGCAGTCTGGGGAGCTGGTCAGCGTCGACGACGCCACCGCGATGACGTCTCGGTCCCCCAACACATCGAACAGGAAGACCCAAGCGAACCAGTGGATCATGAGCGTTATTTCCAAGATGTTCACGGCGGTCAACGGGACAACGCGGCAGGCCCTGCGCGCACCACCCCCCGCCACCACTAGCCTCACAGTCCTCAAGAAGCACGAAGCATTGCGGGACTCGTCAGCATGATGTAATAAACAGTTGTGGGCGAAGAGTGGATGGTAAGAGAGGTTGTCGGCGCTGGCGTGTTTTGGCTGTACACACTGCCTACACCAGCCCGCCACCATTGTCGCCCTTGCCGTTTACAAACGCGTCGAGGTCCCGCGCAACGTCGAAGGCCGTGGGGCGGAGCGAAGGGTCCGGGTCAAAGCATTGCTCCGCTAGCGCTCGGATCGCTGGCGGACAGGTCGCCGACACGGACGGCACCAAGCCTTCTTCCAGGATGAAGTACATGATTCGCTTGTTTGGAACAGCGACGTTCGCGTAAAGTGGCTGCTGTGTGTCGAGCTCGCACAACACACACCCGAACGAGTACATATCCGCCGACACTGTGTAATATCCACTGCGCAGCGCTTCCGGGGCCATGTAGAACGCGCTGCCGACGCCCGCCGTCATCGTCTCGTCCTCCATCGCCTGTCTCGACACACCAAATCCAGACAACTTGGCGTTAGGCCAGTCGAGCAGGATGTTCGTGGACTTGAGATCGCGATGGATCACCATGGGCTGCAGGAGCCCATGCAAGTACTGCAGCGCTCGCGCCACGTCGAGAGCTAACGACGCCTTCAGGTCCCAGTGCAACCCAGGGGTCTCGGTCAAGAAGCGCGACAAGTTGCCTTGCGACAGGTACTCTGTCACGGCCGTGAGCGACCCGAGCGACGTGTCCCACGCATATCCAACAAGCGCGACGATGTTCGGGTGGCGAAACATGGCCATGAGCCGGATTTCCTCGGCGAATGCTTCGATGTTTTCCTGGTCATGCACCTTGTCGGGCGTAATGACTTTGACCGCGACCACCAACTTGTGGTTGTACCGCCCGTAGTAGACCTCGCTGCGAACGCCCGTGGCCAAGAGTTGCGTGCGCGAGATTGAGGCGAACGGCAGCCGCAGGTGCGCCGGGATTTGATCGAGCTTGGCCTAGGCGTTGGAAGGATCGAATGTGTCGACGGCATGGCTCGACTCGTGGAACGGATTCATCGCGAGCGAAGAAAGGTGGCTTGGTCTGTGAACACTGGTTGCCTTGTGCAGCGACGACAGTGCGGCGTCGGGGGCGTTGCGCGATGTGCAATTCGGTGGCACGGCGTCGCCGATTTGCACGTTCGAGATCGAATGGTTGGTGGTAGGCGGCATGGGATTGTATGGCCCGGACTGGAGTTGGGCATGCAGCTGTTGCGACCCCTTCCACCGCCGGTAGAAGCACATGCCTAGCACAAGGACAACGACGGCAGCACACCCTCCGGCGATGACTCCAATCGCCGGCGTTGAAAGACCATCCGCGGATGCTGTGTCGGATGCAGAAGTTGACGCTGACGAAGACTTGATACTTGAAAGCCATGCCGTCATGGCTGAGCTCGGTGTGGGCAAGCACTTGTTGATCGAGTTGGCCGGTTGGTTGAGCCTGGATTCGCATGGAATCGTCAAGCCAACAGACTGGGAAACGAGGGGACAGGATGCGCTGGTAGAACTCAAAACCGGGTCGACAAATGTGTGAATGACAGGCCTGGTGGCCCCACTCCCGTCGCGGTGAAGCAGCAGTCGAACCGATGGAACGTCTAAAGTCTGGAGGGCGTCCTGGGAATACGAGGCGCTGGTCGTGTTTGCACTGGCCAGCTGAGCATCTGCTATAGCACACTTTGTGAAGCGGTCCAGCAATGCAAAGGATGCGATCGCGCCTTGCTGGCGCGCGTACTTGGTACCGCCAGGTCCAGAACAGTCCGTCGTGGGTTGCAATGTGGTAAACTCGTCCTTGGAGATAAAAATGCCGCTCATGGACACCCCGCATGGAACGTACACTTGCAAGTACGTATCCACCGATGCCACCGAGCCCACAACTACTCCAGTGTCCCACAGCACGGCGTGCATGGCAGCAGAAGACAATTGCGACCAACTTAGACCCAGCTCTTGCAGGCGCTGCTCGACGTTTGATGGCGGCGGGATGACGGGTGCTGCGACAGACACGCTGGCAGCGTCCAGAGCTTTGAAGCGCCCGACAAGATCGGAGTTGTCTCGCCAAGTCGTCGCCATGTTGCAAATCCACTTGAAAAGTGTTGCCGAAAAAATTTCGCGTTCGTCTGGACGGATTGGAGTTTAACGCCCATGACGTTAAACAGGACAACTTGCCGTTAAACTGGGAATCTGATACGTGTACACTCGGCAGCGGTCGACACGCTGGAAAGCTTTTATCGCCTTCACTTCATCAATCCTTCTATCGGATCGACCAGCTCGAGCCGCACGATGTGCCGCCCTCGGTATTTACTGGCCTTGAAAACAACCTGCGAGATTCTCCTTCGATGTTTTGCATGTACGCCAAGGGTTTGGAGTTGCTCACGACAGCGATCGATGGGGAATCGAAACTAAACGTGGCACGGTATGTATGTCCATGCGTTTGCAGAATGCCAGGAATCGCCCGCACGGCGCTGGAGGACTTCATAGACGATTGCTGTGGACTTGGCGGATGAAGGAGGCCTTGAAAGGGAAC